CAGCTTTTAATGGGTTATTCATGGTTTAAAAATTGAAAAGTAGAAATGTTGAGAGAATTGTGATGTTTCTTGATTCAGCTTAAAATAGAGGAGAGTTTTCATATTGATTGGTTGAAACCAGAATTGAACAAACAAGTTCAGCATGTTAGTTTGACATTACATTTCAAAATTTATCTTTTTTTGGTTTATTGTTCGGTTTTCTTCCTGTGTTACAGTGTAACTGGTTGGTTTAGATAAATTTGCATTTAAGTATGTTTGAGTTTATAAGTCGGAATCATTGTAAAGGCAGCTATATAATACTACTCACTCTGTGAATCTTATGATATATTCATCATGCTGTTGAAGATGTTTCTAAACATGTTCCAAAACCAAAGAGCATTTTTGTGTTTTTAAAAATAATTATAACACTTGTGCTATCAAGGCCATTTGGTGAAAGTAAAATTGAAGTAGACTTGATTGTTGAATCACTGGCTATCTATTCTAATTTCAGATGCCACGTTGTTGTATTTCTGTAACACCTATTTATATGTGGTTATTCTCATGGTGGGATTAACACTTTCAGTGTGATGTGCTAAGTTCCAAAAGTAACAAGGGTTGTTATTTTTAGATGTAGCTTCCTTTTCCTATCGGTATTTTCACTGGGATGTAACTTTTGGGGAGACCGCGTTTTCTGGGGTAGCTAAAACATATACCAAATAGGCTGACCTACCTTGATATTTAGAAAGAAGGAAGAGTTGCTTAGCAAGGGTGATCTAAACAAGTACTAAAACATTTTGGTTCAGCTTATTATATCTGTTGTTTCTCATAACAAAAGGCCTATTCTCGGTTTTGGACTGGAACTACCTTGCTACTGAAGCTGATGTGGATGGTCTTTTCAAATGCTAATGATGTTTATTTCTTTTTTAATGATATTCTACCACGAGAACCTCCATTGCAAGCTATGTTCCTGTCCAAAACCGAGAATATGAATATGGCTTATTCAAGTTAAGTCTGAAGTTCCTACTTTGGGGGAGGTTGCTATTTTCAGGAGTTCATCTCTTTCAGATCTCTACAGAACTTGCCTAGAAATGTTTTGACTTCACTCTTTTGCACAGTGGCAATTACTCATTTGCATGCCAAAATACCGGTATTGTTGGCAAGCTTTTCTTTGACAAACCTCCTTGTTCAAAGATTAGACCTTGTCACAGAAAACTTGTCAAACTTAGCAAACATGAAAAGTGACTGGGATAGCTAAATCTATAATGTAGAATTCTGTTGTAGGAAAAAATGATGACTTTAAAGAAAAACCTGTTAAAGGAACATTCTGATTAGTTTACGTGGGCAAAGGCTATGAAAACCTTTCAAGGAAAACGCACTGTTCATTTCCACAATCCCATCGATATCGAATATCATGTTTGACCCTTAAACTGTACTTAAATTTGTTGGTGTATGACCGAAACTTCTTTAGGTCTTACTCGAAAGTCTTTGGCAATCTTTGGTAATCTTCAAAAATTTTTTGGAAAATGTTTGGGGACATTCGTGTGGCCTTCAGATAATTTTTGGAGAATCTTCTGAAATCTTCAGAAAGTGGTTGGAAATCTTTGGACAATTGTCAAAAACGTTGTTATCACTACATTTATATAATAAACAAAATAATACAAGGTTGCTTGTAGACATGGAATATGTAAGTGCACCCATGTATTATCCTCTAAGTATCTGCTTGAGGATACATTGATTGTTTATCAGTGGGGTTGTTTAGGGTTATTACAAAGTTGATACAGGTACATCGTGTGAATGGAGTCAAAAGAAAGAAGCCTGGTTCTTTGTGCTATTTTTATAGCGGAGCTCCTGCGCGCCACCCCATACCTTAAAAAATTTGGCAACCCATTGATCTCAAAAGTGACTGTTCGTATGTTCACTTTTAGGCTTGGCTAAATCTATATATTAATCGTTTAACTACATGTACTATCATTAGCATGATGTAAACAATTTTGTTGTTGTTTAGATCAAGTTTCAGCCAGCATCCATCAAGAATGGAAAAGACTTCAGAGACGAAAACATCTCAGAGTGCCGTGCCCAAGCTCTCCAGAAATGAGCACTTTCTCTTCATATTCACCAGGATCTTCACCGCCACGCAAAGATCAACCCCTCTTCACTCTAAAGCAAGTAACCCTAATCTGTGAAAGGATGCTAAAAGAAAGAGAAACACAAGTGACAGAGGAATATGATAAAGTCTTGAGAGAAAAACTTGCAGGTGATTGTGATTTTGGTTAGCCAGGGAAAAAACCCAGTTAAGTTGTCAACATGATTTTCCTGCTGAAAAACAATAGAAGATCGTTAAAATAGCTATGGCTTTCTCCTAAATTGTGGTTCTAATTTTGTGGGCCATTTTTACTTCAGTTATTATCTTGCCAGCCTATTACTGCAATCTGTTTCTTAAAAGGTGTAGAAAGCTTTTTTCTTTGCTACCATAGAATTGTGGAAATGCTGAAAAGTTTGGGAGAAGTATGACATAGTTCCACAGGTTTTCTTGTTCCTCAACTTTAACTTTGTTTATTTCACATTTTTTAATTTTTAATTTTGTGATTGAGATAATACAATGTAGTTGTCCATATACATTTGCACTTGTTTTAATTGAGTTTCTTTGTTTCTCCTAGAACAATATGATGCATTTGTTAAATTCAACTATGATCAGGTTCAAAGGAGATTTCATGAGACACCACCAACATGTAAGCATTGTATCAGCAATCTGCTCCTACTTAGGCAGCAATAACTAGGGGTTTCACTAAGGGCCAGACACTGGGCAAATTGACGGGCTGTGAGGTTAATTTTGTCTAGAAGAAAGTTTTTCTTAAAAAGAAGTTTGGTTCAAACTTCTTGTACATTTCTGGTGCCAAGTTTAAAG